AGATTCACAATCAAAACAACATAGATAAATAACACAAATATATGCAAATAAAATTAGAACGACTAGGATTGTGGTGGTCCAAATGCGATCCATGAAAACTGCAACTAGCCATTGAATTGCTCTTTGCCCACCAATCTTGAACTCCTTCAAAGTCTATGATCGGCTCAGTGCAAAATCGGTCCAGAAATTTAGATTTCAAATTATCAAGAAATCAATTTCCAGGTTGGGTTAGAAATTTTTTACGATTCAGACTAGCTACTAAATTTGGTTTGGCCATGTTAAATCTGATTTCTAACCTAACCAACAAAACACTCACTGACTGTATTTAGGGTGTAACCCTAGCAGTTGGGACAATTTGCTCCACTATTTTGGCAGCACATCAGTGCCAGCCTTATCAGGATAARTTCYCCAAGTTTATCYAATGGTTAACAATTTTCTAAACTAACACAAGTCTCATAAGTGTCAAGTAATTCATAGAAATATACCAAACTAAATATAAGACAATAATAAACTAGTTTTATTAATACATAAAACTTAGTGTGCATCAATTTGATTGGAGCTAAGGGTCTAACAGCTAAAAGCGCAAAAGCTTCAAGTGGAATTTCTTGAAAATAATTTATTTTAGCCCTAACCCTTTTGRTCTTTTTAAAACATGTGCTATCCTATTGGATGATCAAATATCAATAGGATACAAAGCTTCATAAAATAKTAAAACAATTTGCGCAAATAAGGATGATCAATTCTACACCAATAAACGAAAACTTACAACTAAGTTGTAGCTATRGTYGCAACAAAATGAGCTATCACGCGGAATAAAGAAAAAGTAGACTTTCACAAGATCACCAACAACTGCTTTACATCATCTAGAATACCACTACAGGGGTGGAAAGGTGATGAAGAAGTCCTTCCGTAAGTTAACCATCTCTGAAGAATCTGAAAGGATATGAGAATTTATCGTATGAAACTTTAGAGCTTCCTCCATAGCAAAACACATAGCTTTTGATCTTAGTTTCAAGAACTGACGAGCTAGGAGCTGTCGTACCTATGGCAACCAGAATCCTTTTCTCTGAGTAAAAAATTACACATATTAAGTACGCTCTTTGAGTACTCCTTTGATCAATATTGGAGATAATCATCTTGGAGATTATACTAACAGATCCAGAACTCCTAACTGATCCAAAACCAATATGGACTCTGAGAAAGATAAGGATAAGAACTGTAACTTAGGATCAAGATGATCCATCTTGTACTCTATCTAGTTTTCTATTGTTATCTTGTACATGTCACTGTATGATCTAAACTCTTCATTGAAGCTTATAAATACCATTAACTTCAGTGCTCCAAAACACTGAAGCCGATTCCCCTCATAACTATTTTCTCTATTCTTCTTGTTATTTCTTTAGTTTAAACTTGGTATCAGAGCCGATGGATTTCTCTCAAAGAAGCAATGGCAGCCAAACCAATGTGGATGCTGGTTCGAATATTTCAAGATCGACATCTTCGATTCCCTCTCTTCAGAATGTGACACACTATCTCCCCATCAAGCTAGGCAGTGACAACCACCTGCTGTGGCGTGTTCAGTTTCTTCCTATACTCCGACATCACCATCTAATGGATCTTGTTGAAGGGAAAAAACAACCTCCACCAGAGATGATACCTGATCCAGCAGGCAAAGGGAATATATTGAATCCAGAATATGTGTAGATGATAAAAAAAATTGTGGAATTCACAATTTTTTTCTTGTACATCTATCTTATACTGCACATCTGGAACATTTTTGTGCAGGCCCATATGTACTAATAAGACCCACTTAAAATGATACAATGTTTCCATATGTAGGGTGTAGGGTTCATCAAGAAAAACAAATTTGCATCCTTATCACTTTTCTTTGACTGTTTTTTTTTTTCATTTTTTATTTTTCAGTCCAATTTACTTGGCCAAGTTGAACACCACCACAACTACCAGTCAAATTGGATCTAACTGTCATTCTATTCTAAGCACACTGCATTGTAAGATTTTGATTGTTAGCAASGAGAGCCTAACCTCTCAGTCCAAGAGCACACTGCATTCTATTCTGAGCACACTGCATTGGACTTGGTCCATCCCTAATGAATTTAAATTGGATTGGGTTGTATTGG